GCGAAAGAATTCAACATTCATTATTTAAAGAAATCGGGAATAAATTACAATCAAATTTGGAAATTTTGAAAATCTTTCTTTTAGGTATATGGGGGATAAGAGAAGTATTGATTCGATTCAAGCCATTTACAGACATAATATTATCAGGAAAGAATTCTCACATACATTGAACGATAAATTCGGTAAAAAGTCAACCATGGACACTGGGGTCCACATCTTTGGTATATGCGGGCTTAAACAGTTACGGTCCGATTTTTACAATTTTGATACTCTTGAAACATGCTTCTGGTTATAGTTTTGATCCCCTAACGGTTATTTGTATCACTTAAAAATAATCGAGTTAGATATAGGGTTATGTATATATAAATGATCAGGATGATGAGACGGGTTGAGTTCCGAGTGATTGTCTGTCTGTCCGTCTGTGCGCCAGTGCAAGCGATAACTTTAGTAAAACTTAAGATATCTCAGTGAAACTTGGTACATATATTTCTTGGGGTGAGAACGAGTTCGTAGATGCCATTATTTAAAAACTTATAAAATGAAATAACTAAGCACTAAATTAAGATATAAACCTATAATTTTACATAGAGATGTGCAGTTGCAGGGGGCGCTGGTGGTAAAAAATATCGTCACTCCGCCATGTTTAATGTACATACATCGGTAGAGTTTCTAAAAAGATTTAGTTTGAGTTAATTTCGGTTTGAAAAAAATAAACTAAATATAACCCCATGTCTAACTCGATTAGTTTGAAGTGATATAAACCATCTTTAGGTTAACAAAATTATTATACTCTGTAGCAACATGTTGCAAGAGTGTAAAAATGTTGCGTAAGAGTTCAATATGCATTATTCGGTGAAGCTATGAATGGGTAAACGGATTATTTAATTAATTATATTGAATAATTATTATTATTATTTCGATTCTAAACTTATATTATTGGTCACAGTATGTATAGTACAATATATGGGAGTAATTCGTAGAGCGATATCGCACATTTTCGTTACATTTTACATTTTAAACTATAGTATATCCAACATTTTGCTCAAAGTGGTCTATTAGTTTCTGAGATATAGGTTTTCATTTAAACGTAGACGGTGTTATGCCTATTGCACAATTTTGAAATTGGCTTTCATGAAGCTTTTTTTTGCCGTCTTAGACGTAAACTTTTTTGTCTCTGGCATATTTTGTTAGCGGGTTACCACATTATTCGTAGTTTTCAACTTTCAGATGGTTGATATAGCTTGAGCGGCTTGGGAGATATAGGTATATACATTACACCTATTTGGGGACTTGTTAAAGATTTTTAAGGCGCAGATTGCACTCCCTATTACAATTGGTAGTACCGATTTACTGTTTTGCATCCTAATGGGGAGCTTGGGTGTGTTACTTTATGGGTTTTGTTAAATTGTGTACCAAGCTTCATCAAGATGTCTTGATTTTTTTTATACTCTCGCAACCTGTTGCTACAGAGTATAATATTCTTGTTCACATAACGGTTGTTTGTATCACCTAAAACTAATCGAGTTAGATATAGGATATATATGTATATATAAATGATCAGGATGATGAGACGAGTTGAAATCCGGGTGACTGTCTGTCCGTCCGTCCATCTGTCCGTCTGTCCGCCTGCCCGTGCAAGCTGTTAGTTGAGTAAAAATTGAGATATCTTTATGAAACTTGGTCACTTGGACAGGTTTCTTGGTACCGTGAGACGGTTGGTATTGCAGATGGGCGTAATCGGACCACTGCCACGCCCACAAAACGCCATTAATCAAAAACAAATAAGCTCCACAATAAGATACAAGACTGTTATTTGGTACACAGGATCACATTAGGGAGGGGCATCTGCAGTTAAAATTTTTGTTTAAAAAGTGGGCGTGGTCCCGCCTCTAATAGGTTTAATGTGCATATCTCCTAAACCGCTAGTGCTACAACAAAATTCCCTGGAAGCAAATGTTTTTAGCACTTCTATTGACGGTGTGAAAATAGTTGAAATCGGTTGGCAACTCCGCCCACTCCCCATATAACGGTACTGTTAAAAACTACTAAAAGCGCGATAAATCAAGCACTAAACACGCCAGAGACATTAAATTTTATCTCTGGGATGGTATGAGATGACTTTATAGGAACCGCGTTCAAAATTAGACAGTGGGCGTGGCACAGCCCAATTTTAGGTGAAAACCCATATATTGAGATCTGCTTAAGCAATTTCAATAAAATTCGGTACATAACGTTATTTTCATATTTCTATATTATAGTGCGAAAATGGGCGAAATCGGACTACAACCACGCCTATTTCCCATATAACACCATTTTCAATTCTATTTGATTCTTTCACTTTCCACTATGCATATCAAGCAACAATGATTATATCGGGGTAAAACTTTGCGTGAATAATACGTTTAAAGTATGCCACCTTGTGACCAAAAATTGTCTAATTCGAACCGGAACTGTTCAAGCCCCTAAGTACTAAATATGTGGACCCCAGTGCCTATAGTTGACCTTCTACCGAAAATATCAGCCAATCCACAAAGAAATCTCAAACGAGTATACAATTTGACTTTGCGAGAGTATAAAATGTTCGGTTACATCCGAACTTAGCCCTTCCTTACTGGTTATACAAACAATCGTTAGCAGAACAAAACTGTTATACTCTGTAGCAACATGTTGCGAGAGTATAAAAGTAACGGACTTTTTTTCTTATTTCATATGAAATTTTATTGCAGACATCTTGAAATTTTTCACACATTTCAACTGCTTATGATTTACAAGAGCATTTGATATAGAGATTCGCTCGAGCTCACTCCTATCACGTCTTTTTTTATGTTAGGATTCTAAGAGAGGATACAATCCGAGTTCGTCTATTTTTGGTACCAAGCCTTCACATAACAGAACTAATGTGTCTTTTAGGTTGTATTGAATCTTATCTTTCATTGTTTGAGTTGTCCTTTGTACTGTATGGCAAAACATTTGTTCTCAAACTTTTAGAAGTTCGTTCTCCATATAAAAGCTACAATTTATTTAACTTCTCTGTGGTTAAACTCGTTCCCAATGAAAAAAGGGGACAACGAGCGAATGCGGTGATCAGAACATTGGGATTGAAGACGAAAATAATTGGGGATTAATTGTCATCTCTTTTGATACTTTCACAATATTTCAAGTTATATCAAGTCAGTTCAGTTTTTGATATGGCTAAGAGAGCACTTTATTTTTCGGATAAATGCAACTCCGGACTATCTACTAGAAGAAGAGCACTTGAGATCATTTCGCCTAACTTTGATATGTTAGGAGAATGCCTGGCATCAGCTCGAACGTTTGGAAAGCTGGATGTTGAAGAGTGAGTACTCATTAGTAAGTATGTGTTTGCATATGTAATCACTGATCCAAATTGCACCAGCTTTACATAATTTGACGCGGTGGAATCATTGCATGCCTCCTCATCAAATTTTTGCAAATTATTTCTTTATTCTATCATTTATACGTATCTCTTTTCTTAAACAGTCTTCTCTACTGCACTTCAACTATACTATGCATTGGGCCCATGTCTTGTTTGAAATTTTTTGAAGTTGTAAACTAATTTATAAAAACGTGTTAACATATGAGTGAATTTTGTTGGACAAGGAGGAAATATCCGATTCGTTTTAATTATGTAAGCATTGAAAAGAGGATGTTTCCGAGAAAATAATGTGGAAAATTACGCACTTAAACAAGTTCACAAACTTTGCTTTCATGTGACACGGTTTTCTGTGCAGCGACAAACTTATCTCGGGATCTTTTGTTGTGTTGTTTGTTGCACCTTCTGTTCTGTAGAGGAGCGAAAGTGTCAACAACAGGCACATGCGATGCTGCCAACAGTTAATGCATTGTTTTGTACAAATGTAAAACATATATAGAACAGATTGTGCTTAGTACCCGAGTGGTAAACTTTTATCATTTCCTTTCTTTGAAAAGTAAGTCAAAGTGAACGATTGGACTTTTACTTTTATGTCTCAGAAGAGCTTGGATGTAATGCGGTTAGAGTTACGGCTCGTTAAGAAAACACCACGAACGGCCTGAAACTCGTGCAACAGTGAACTTTAGTCCCCGTAAAACGAACTCTAGTCTAGATATAAAAAAATGGCAAACCAAATTGAATATAAATCAAGTAACAGTTGTCAAAAAGACTAACTCCGAAAATATTATTGCCTCATTGAAAACGACACGTCTAAAAAATTAACCGTTATATGTTTTCATAATTGTAGAATGCCTAAAACATGATAGCGCAGGATTTTGATATACAGGTTTCAGTGATGCCACTAGGGTGCTAGTAGTATCTTTCCTGGAAATGCCTGTCGTCACACACTAAAAAATAAATCTGCTCTAGTCTCCTACATAGGCAATATCACTTTGGCTGACTTATGGGTTAGTGAGTGAGGATAATAATAAAATTATAATAAATACCGATTTACAATTCCGTCTAATATATGAAACACTTATTTTATTTGACAAGATATCTTCACGAAATTTAGCATGAGTTCTTGTTCAAAGCAACGGTAGAATATCCGAAGAAATTGTTTAGATCAGACTACTATAGCATATAGCAGTTATACAAACTGGCCGATCGAAATCAAGTTCTTGTATGGAATCTTTAGGAAAAGTATGTATTATAGCTTCTGTGGCATGTCTATATACAGCTTCACTCGAACATATCTTTTCATTTCTTGTTATTCTAACTTCAAGTCAACACAATTGAACCGAGCTATAGAAATATATCTATACTCCATGGAATCTTTGGAACTAGGGATAAAAATTTGTATTGTCTGGAGTTTACCTCCATCGCCCTAGTACTCACCTTTTCCATCTAAATCAACTTTCAACTAGAGGCTGTGTAAACATAATTATCAAAATTGATTAATTTTTTTTAATTATTAATTTAATTAATATATTATTAGGTTTTTATTGATACTTATGTGACTCCTTTTTTTGATAATGAATTTAAATTTATTAATGAGATTATAATATTTATTACCACCGTTACTCAATATGTATTTTAAAATCCTTAACATAGTATTGTAACATGTTGTTTTGGTTTTTGGTTTTGGTTTTTAACAAATTCAAATTTATTTAAAAACAATAATATTACTAATACCCTGCGCTCATTTCGCTTAATGCATACTTCATTTTTTAACGTCTCTGATATAATGACTATAAATATGTGTATCTGTATGTGTGTGTATGTAAGCCAGATAAAAATGACGTGCCATACCGTTATATTTATTAAGTGAATAAGAAAAAACGCGCATGGCTGCGAGTGTGTTATGAAATCTTGTTATTATGTGTGTGTGAGGCGACAACAATTTTCCATTTGACATATGTACATATATTTGTATGTATTTGTGTGGGTAATTCTAGTAAAACCTCACTTAATTATTTGAAAAAGTTGCTCACCAACACAACTCTACTACATACACACGTTATATGAATTATATTTGTGTTGAACATACATAATTTAGTAATTAATTACAATCAATTAACATATTTAAATTTAATAAGCGTCTCTTTTGGAAGAATTTATGCTACTCATCGCAATGCACAGTTCATTTATCTATGTTTATGTATGTATGTACATATGTATCTATTTACTCACTTATATATATGTATGTATGTATATGAAAAAGTACATATGCACTTGTACCGTTTGCTCAGCCGTATTTACATACACATACACAGTGTCGAATTTGTCGCCATGTCTTCGCAAGGTACGTAACTGGGTGTGGGCCTTAAGTCTATCTAGAGTTGATCGATTAACTATTTTGTCACTTTGTAACAACTGTGTATGCCTAAGTATTGTATAAGTATATAGTTTAAATCTAAACACAAATACCGTAAATTGATTTATTCAATCGCGTAACAAAATTATAGGAAAGTACAAAAATGTTGAGCATTTTACCGCTGCTCTCGTTCTCTACACTCTTTGCAGTTATTGTTTTATTTTTTGCATTTTCTCAAGCGAGATTTCTTGCTTTCTTAAAGTTAAACATCTTCATTTAGCATTTAATATTAAGAGTATATATATATATATATATATATATATATATATATATATGTATTTGTTGTTTTGTGTATAATTAATTATTTGTCGCATAGAAACAATTAAGAGGACGGTCATTAAAACTGAACAAATTCTATGTTTGCCTTTGCAACGGCATTGGAATTAGCTACATACATACATACTTATCAACTAACTGTATATACATGCTTTAGGCTCTACATTGTTTCTTTATTAATCCCTTCTTAACTATATGTATAACTACATTTGCTATAACTGTTAATTTGATAATTATGATTATTTATTTGATTTATTTGAGTACCCTGATGATTTCTTATGAGTTTTGATCATTCATTTTGATTAATTGTTCCATAATTAACTAAACTAATTTAATTCTATCTGGTATGATATACTGAATTTTGCACTTAATAGGCTTTATTCAGTAATTAAGTTTTCTAATTGCTTTCATTTCGAGTTTTACTAGTTTTCTTATTTAGTTACGCTAGTTTCTTTCCGGAACCGCTTAAAGAAATCGCCGCAAAAGTCTCGTTGTGGGGCTCATTTTACTTTGCCATTTTGATTCTTCGAAAGAGCAGCAGATTTTTCGTGATTTTTTGGAAATCTGGCAATGTCCTTCATAGATATGAGGCAATATTTTCTCTAATTTGAGATACGGGACACTTTGTTGGGGCTTCTTTTTGCGGTACTTGTATGTGTTTGGGAAATCAGTTTACGCTCGGTTTTATTTTAATATATTTATTAGAGTGCTGTTATGAAAACCAACGCTTTCATGCTCCAAGTAAGAATTAAAGCATATTTAGTTATGTATAAAGTATACGAGCCATTTAGTGAACCGATTTTACAATATTTCGTTTTGATAATTATTTTTATTGTTCAAGGAATCGCTCGTTCTCAAGATATGTGAAACTATCGTTGGTTTGTGTTCGAGATTATACGAAATTCATTGTAAGTTGATTTGATGATATGTTCGACTTGAATAAAAATTGGGAAATGATGGTAAAAATCTGACTCGATGCTATTAAAATATTGTTTTTTACTTTTACTAGCGTGAGAAATTTGATTCCCTAATTAAGTAGTTATGTGCTTATGCCCTCTTGGTGTCTTACTCTTTTGGAAAATAAGTTTTCTTCTTAATATTATAGCGCTATATCGAGCAAGCACATTACAAATTTCGGTCATATGCCTGTTAATGCGTATATATGTGTGTACAATATGGTGGATAATTCTGAGTAAAAGGGTTTTAAGAAATCTTAAAAATTAACAAAATTAATTAATTAATATGAACCCGAAACTGTCAAATGCGCAATTGTGTCTCCTTCTTTGATGGAAAAAGTATTCGAGCATTAAATTTTCTATAAATAAAATCAAGTCTTAAGTTTTAAACATCAAAAAAAAAAGTATTTATGTATTATTTTTTGAGTGAAATTTCTCATATGAGCCAGTTACAAAACTGGTCTAAAGTATGAAAAACAAAACTTGTTAGCATTGAAGATAGCGTTTATATAACTTTATTGAGGTATCCGGATATTTTCTTGTATCAATTCAACTCGATAACTTTGTTGTTGCTTTAACAAACTACATAAATAACGCGGTTCTCTGAAGAGAGCCTAATTGAGTATTACTTACGATGGGAATGTATGTAGTTTAACAAAACTTTCATCACAAATTTAGGAGATAGAAGAGAGAGTTTGCGGTGAGACTTGTTTAAAGCGTTTGAGAGGTTTTTAGTTTTCTTTGAGGATAAACTGTAGTACAGTTATCGAAAGCGCACCTTTTGCTTTCTCTCTCTTATGCTTACGTATTCATCCGCCATATTGTACACAGGTCAAAATGGAATACATGTATATAATGCCAATATATTAGCATTCAGGTATACTTGTATACTTATTTACAAACCGTTAAGCTTAGACGGGGCATTATTTTATGTACATGCAATTGTAGACCGTGAATCACAGTTACTCAATACTACTTCTCCTTACAGCTAGAGGTACTACACTTACTAAGTTCTCTGCTATACATATAAATATTTTTCATCCCAATATTTATATATTTAAATTTACAAAATGTAGGCAGCAATTAAGACCGACCAAAAGTCTCCAATTTCATTTAGCTCACTTAATGAACCAGAACTACTCTGAAGTTATTGTAATTATTATATGAGTCTATATTTTCAAGTTGTTGTTGTTGATTTAGTTGCATGTGCGGGTTGTTGTCGTCTATAAAATCGCGAAGTAATGCTTACAACTCACGTCGTAGCGACGGGCAATGCATGTGTTAGTATTGTAGTTTTTGTTATTGCTATTATAATGAAGAAATAATTTGCTCGCTTCCACCCTTACCATCACCAAAAAGTATTTGCAGTCGTTTACGTTTACTTTAGCGCAGACTGTTCCGATCAGCGATGATGTTAATCACCCCAAATGCATGATCTTTTTGAATGCTTTGCGGAACTCTGGGTTGAAGATCGTATAGATGATGGGATTGACAAAGCTGTTGATGTAGCCCAGCCAGGTGGTGAGTATAAAGACGGTAACGCCTGGCCGCCAGTCTATGTCGAGCATGGCACAGATGGCATCTGCGACATTACACGTGAAGAAAGGCACCCAACAAACCAGGAAAACACCTGCGAGAAACGGATTAAGGAAATAATTTATAATTTGTGTTTAAAAATAAAATTACTCTCAGTTTTTTTTTTTTTTTCTAAATATTGACTAGTCCAAGTTCTTATTTGTAGGGGTTTTGAAGGTAATATCTGTTCTTATTAAGATTTTCTCTAAAAAGAGATGGCTTATGCTTAAATCACTTTTAAATAACCTAAAGAACAAATCACTTGATAACTATTTTTTTTGAATAAAAAGGATTGACGATTCATCGAGCAATTCACTGGGAGGCGTCGAAGTTGTAAAAAAGCGAAGCTATTGCAACTGACACGGTTTAGGAACCTGCTAAAATTTTCCTAAAAGGGTTTTTGATATAAAAGTGTCTAAATTGGAAAAATCGAAAAAAAACTTTGTTTAAAGCCTTATTTTCGATAATTTCGTAACCGTATAACAAACACGGTTGAAGTTGTTACCCAACGGCGAAAAAGGTAAAAGTTTGATTCTATATAGTTTTTCGAAGATTGATTCTTAATAAAATTAGCAGCCATTTAGAATAAAAATCAGTACTTCTATGAAAAAATACAAATGCGGAATTTGTGTTTTTGGCTAACCATTAAACTTATTGTTAACATACATAGGTTCATAGCTTATTTATCTAAACCTTATTAATGAAGGTAGTGAAAATATCAATAATAATTTAACGCTTGAGGAAATATATATAATTAAAATCTTAAACGTAGCATGAATCTGTTAAACCCAATAGGTTGACAATGATGGATCTCGGCAGCAAGAAACATAAACAAAATAACACGACAGTGCATAACATAAATTCCATCACTTAGGTTTCGAGTTGTCAAACCGCATAACAACCTTAAACCATTCTAAAAATAAATTAAAATATTTTTGAATAGAATGTCAACGTTCATCTTGACCAACTTGTGAAAGGAACAATAACAGTTATTCCATTGTAACTATTTGGAATATAACTGTTTCATTCTAAACATTCCTTGCAACCTTCTATTAATTAAGCAGAGTACAATACATCCGCATAACTAAGTTTGGCTGAACGTCAACTTTTGGCAGCATTCGGTTAAAAAGTTACTTGGCTAGTTTTGACTTATTTGTATTCATGCTCAACTTATCGGTACTTACCCAGAACGATGGCGAGAGTTTTGGTGGCTTTCTGTTCTTTCTTCGCCGACGACTTTTCGCGCTTTTTCTTCGAAGCTTTGTGGACTTTGTATATTGTGAACCTGCCGCGAGCCAATTTCCATACCCGAACAAAAGGTGAGCAGGGACCGCCGAGTGCGGACAGAAGCAGTCGAAAATGTCAGTTGATAGTGGGAAGTAGCAGTCGTAGGCGAGAGAGACCGGAGCGCATTGAAATGAGGGAAAAAGAAAAAGTTTTGCGAATAAAATATTGGACATTGCAAAATGGAGAAGTGCTATGCAGAACAACGAGATCCGAGATACACGCCATGCGTATGAAAGAGAACAGCGGTGAATTGGAGATTTATGCAAAAAGATGTTAATACAGCTTGCTTAACTTTTATTTGTGAAGTGTTTGGTAGCCAGCGGCTATGCCAAGCAAACGCTGTAGCCATGGTGTGTTGGGTATAACCGCTGGCTACCAGCGTATGCTTTATCGTCACTTCACTGAACTAAGTGGCCACTACTTACCTCGAGGCCTGCGAATTTTTCTTGTCCTTACGCGATGAGCTCTTTGACGCTGCTGACAGTGTAGAGTCGTTGCGAGCCAGTGTCATTGCTTCTTGAACCCCGCAGCGGACGAAGGACAGTGGCTTCATCGCAACACTGTGTGCACGCAGTCATCGCCGAAGCGTATATACATATGTACATTACATATATACAGGGTCGGCGTCGGAAAAATATTACAGGTAAGTTGGGAGAAAATACAAATTTAAACTTAATCGCTAATAAATTTAAAAAACTTTCAACGCAACTCAAATCAAACCACACAAAATGTATACCATTATTTATACTTTTAAAATAATGTATTAGTTGCGGATGGAACGCATGAGGAACCACTACTGGCAGGGTTATGGGTGAGATAAGTAATACTAAGTACGGTGGTGGAAAGGTCAGCGGTGCTCCTTACCTGAGAGACGGCTCACGTTTGACGGGCGAATCACCAGTAGCGGTGTTGCGTCTACTGCTGCTAACACTGGACCGTTTGTATGTCCCACTAGGCTCCGGGCTATCCGGCGGTGACGAATCGGCGGCTGCGCCTGCAAGGACATCATCAACGTTTGAGGGTGCATAACCAGAATCATGATTACCATTTGGATCGGCCACCACAAGCTGTGGCGGGCTGCTGATCTGCGCTACAACACTGCGCGGTAACAGTGGACATGCATGGCCGTGAAGCGCGGCGTGGAGATGTGATTTCGATTGGATTTTTACAATTTTTCATTTTAATATTTTTGCAGCGTATTTTTAATTTATGTTGACATTGTGGATGTGGCAACGATGCGTGTTTGTGGTATTTCCAGATGGATAGCGGTGTACAAAATGAAAAACGGGAAAATAACAAATAATATTTAAGAGATGTATTCAGATGGCTGTGTAGGTGGAGGGTTGTCAGCGGTATGGTTGTTCTTCTTGACTTAATATAGTCGTATTCACGTTACCTAATAAAAACCTTGTTTCCATGTTCCATTCTTTTAGTGTACAGGGAATGGATTAACTTCAATAAGAGATGAGCCAAAAACTATAGAAGTCCTGAGGTCTAGTGTTATTGAAGGCAACAGGTAGAGTTTCACCTCTTTAAAAACTCCTTTGAATATTTCGGATCCCAAGAATATCTCTGAGTAAACATGAACTTTAATTTTCGCATAGTTTTATCTTAACCTTAAGTAATATGCATCTGGTAGTGAAAGGACTTAACAAAACTACACTAACAATAATTGAGACAAGATTGCTCCAAACTAAGTTATCAACAAACGAACTGTGAATCATGGTAATTGTAATAATTTATCACAATTTCGATTTTGGTTATTTTTGTATACCAGATCTTTCCTTGCGAACATTAACAATAAATGCAAATTTCGAAATTTAAACATATTTTTTGTTAACATTTCAGACACTTTTGTTCTCATATACTATATAAAAGTGAGTGATAAATTCGTAATTTCTTTTGTGATTATTACTTATCACATTTGGCCCCAGGAACTAGTCGAGGTTTTCATTTATCTACTACTAATTATCCATCTTTTGTGTCTCTCCATCGCATTGTAATTTATTTTACATTTTAAATAATTTTTTTGTAGCTCTCTTTCATTAGTTATTACTGCTTTTTGTGTGTGTTTGTAATTAACTAGCGTCTATTGAAGTGTTATTGTTGTTGGCGCTTTGTCACTTACATGCCAGTCTCCTCCACCACGGTGGCTAGCATAAATTCTGTGGATTTGTCATTGACGATGACATGGCAATCGTCGATGTCCGGCGAAATGGCACTACCGCCGGGATCTTCCTCCTCCTCGTTTGACCCCGACGCTGTGTTCGTCGCCGGCTCATCAGGAATTATGCGGATCGCGTGCCTGTCGCTGCCTAGCGCCGTTTCGGCAAGCCTGCGCGTTTGTGCCACATTCTCAATGACGCTGCCACCCGTCAGCTCCGATAGGTGCGGCCTCCGTGCTGCGCGTTGCTTCTTCGCTCGCATACTTAGTGCCTATTGTTTAAAGAGGTGGACAAGCGTACGCAAAAGCGAAGACAAATATAGACAATGTTAAAGTCATAAATTAATCTAAAATGAGTGTTAGGTACAAATTAAAGTATATAGGCAAAGTGCTGTTGTTTTAAAAAAGCATTAAAATTAAATAATTTATATTGAGTTTGAATTACCCTAAAAATATTCCAGTATAGGAAAACCATAATAATACAGGGAATGTAGAAACTGGTTAGCGAAGAGCAAAGAATGAACAAATTGTTATAGAATACACAAAGTCCCGGGTCGCGATTAGGTGTGTTGTTGAGGCCCATAACTATAGGTAGACCGATAGCTGCTGAAATTGCCCAGGCTAATAGGATGGTAAGGCAAACACGTGCACTGTTTCTATGTTTCGCATATTCTATGGGTCTCGTTACAGCAATATACCTGAAATAAAGAGATATAATAAGTCCATAGCGTTACATAAAAAGTTATTAATAATGATGATATGAAAGATTTTCCGAGAGAAAAAACTTATAATGCCATAGAGAGTTATTTTCCATAACTGGTATTATTGAACTGTTTTTTTTGTCACCAATTAACCAAATATTGGTTGAAAAGCTTCTGCTCTCACAAAGAAATAGGAGGTTGACGTGTTAGAGTATTGTTTAAATATGGGAACAATTTAATATCGCGCTGTGATTAGTTTCTTTGTTTTGATAGGTATAAAAGCAAAGGAAATTTATGAACAGTTGTTAGAAGTGTATAAGGAGTCCTCACCTTCAAAACGCACCGTTGAATTTTGGGCAGGTGAATTTGAACATGGTCGTACGAGGCTTGAAGACGATCCATGCGAAGAACGACCAAAAACCGCAATCATACCAGAAATCGTTGTGAAAGTCTTTATATTGTAAGTTGAGATACAAGTTTGACTAAGCGTGAAATTGCAAATGAAATACGCATCTCGGACGAACGATTACTTCATATTTTACATGGAGAACTACATATGAAAAAGCTGTTTGGAAGTTAGTGCCGCACACGTTAACAATTCAACAAAAACTAGAACGAAAACAAATTTCTCAGCATAGTTTGGAGCGTTTTAAGCAGAATAAAACCGATTTCTTGCGTCGTTTTTATAACTGATGAGATTTAGATCTACCACCATGATCCTAAATTAAAACAAGAACATTTACAATGGACTGAAGCTGATTGTTCAGATCCAAAGCAGGTGAAGTTACAACGATCATCAAAGAAGGTTATGGCATCAGTTTTTTGCGATGCAAAAGGAATTTTGTTGATTCATTATTTGCAGAAAGGTAAAAAAATTAACTTTGAATATTATTGCAGCCTTTCAGCTTGACTAAAAAAGTCGTGAGAAAAGGCCTGGTTTGCAGCACAAAAAATCATTTTTCATTAAGGCAATTAAGGCACGAATATAAGTACGAATTGCTTGAGCCTCCACCGTATTCACCAGATTTGGCGCCCAGTTACTACTACCTCTTCAAAAACCTGAAACAATTCTTTCGTGGAAAGCGTTTTTCGTCGAATGAAGAAGCTATTACAGCCGTGGACGGGTATTTTTCAAAGCTTCCGGAAAGTCATTATAGGGATGGCATAAAAGTATTGGAGGATCATTGCAATTTTTTAATTTTTAGCGCAGAAACTCTTCAACCAACCTGTATAGTCTTCTTTACGAGTACAAAGACATCCCGAAAGGTGAATAGGGGCAGGGCACTTTCTCCACTGCTTTGGATCTTGATGGTTAACGACCTACTTAAAGACCTCGAGGTACCAGGTTGTCGGGTGATAGCCTATGCTAAAGACGTTGTTCTTGTTGTTAAAGGAAAATTTCTAAATACTGTCTACGAGCTACCGAAAGGGTACCTCAACGTGGTATTCAGCGTCTATGGTAGAAGCGGCTTAGCCGTCAACCCAAGTAAAATAAAATGGTTTATTTACTGGTAGGTATAAGATCCCAAACATGACTCTGCCATCTTTCGGAGGTTCACCTGTTCAACTTGTTAATAAGGGGAAATACCTAAGACTTATCCTTGATAGAAAGCTTTCATGGAGGCCAAATATTGAGGAGAGCGTCGAGAAGGCATCGGTTGTCTTATATTGCTGTAGAGGAGCTATAGGGAAAAGTTAGGGACTCTCACCGTAGTCAAGCCAATAATGTTCTTTCGTGTATTAGTCTGGTAGAGGGCGCTGGAAAAGGTTACACTTGCTTACAAGCTTGAACTTGTTCAAAGAGCTGCTCTCATCGGCATCTCCGCTGCACTACGGACTACACCAATAATACCAATTAATGTCAATTTAAGCATAGCACCCGTGGACATTGCCGGCATGCATATTGCTGCGAAGTGTGCTCTAAGGCTCAACTGCATTCCTGAAAACTTGGAGAAATTTCTCGCAGAGGCCATTCGTGGCGGCTTTGTCTCTGCTCACATACCGACGAGAGGTATGTGGATGGTGAGAAGTAGCTGGAGAAGAGGCGCAGTGAGCGCTGTGAATAAAACCGCTCGAAGCTAGGAAAGAAGGTTAGAGAAGAAGTTTTCTGTACGCAGCTATCCGTCAGTCTTAGCTTAAATTTACCGTATCACTGTATTTTTTTTCAGGCAGAAGTGGCTGGTATTAAGGTGACGGTAGACGTACTGCTACGAAGTACAGCCTGTTTTAACGAGGTAAAAATTAACTTCAACAACAGAGCATTACTAGCGATGATCAAGGAGTGTCTGTCTCCACTAGAAATAGCATCAAACTACTTTATCATTAGACTCGTTTGGGTGCCTGGTCATAGTGGAATCGCTGGCAATTACAAAGCCGATGAGCTAGCCAGAGGAGGCACCCTTGCCACGTAGACATTGGAATGGGACCGAGTTGGATCTCCATTGGCGTCTTGCGTTCTAGCACTGGACCAATGGACCTCGTGTGCGCTTACCAGTCGCTGGTCGGCGATCACAACGGACTGGCGTTCTAAGCTGTCCAAGTGAGATCCCTATTAGGATCGACCTCTTAACCTAACCTAACCAAATACCGATTTTTATCCGTTTTAGTACTACCTGCATGTTTTGCATTCTAAATAATTGCATCGGTTTTGGGTGCAATTAACCGATTAAAAAATTATTATCTTTAAAAAGTTCGAAAAGGCTATGTTCGGGTGTAACCGGACCTTTCATACTTTTGTAACATGCGTTACTGATTACGTATATGAGAGATAAGAGTAGTATTGACCTGATTTTATCTATTATTGGCTTTACGACATGTTATTAACAGAAAACAAGTAAGGAAGAGCTAAGTTCGGGTGTAACCGAACATTTTATACTTTTGCAACTTGAAAGGATCAAAGTAGGAAAATCCCTTCAGGTGTTATGAAAACTGTATTTTAAAAAATGTTGTAAAACAATTCAACATTCATTATGCTTTATTTGTATATGGGAAGTAGACGAAATTGTAATCTGATTTCCTCCATTTTTGCACTGTAATATGGGAATATTGCAGAAAAGTTATGTAAAGAATTTGAAATCGGTCAAGCAGGTCCCGAGATATGTGATTTCACCTAAACGTGGGCGGTGTCACGCCCACGGTCTAAGTCGTCGTCAATCGTGTGCCATCCTGGGTGTAAAATTTAATGTTTTTGACGCATTCAGTCATTGATTTATAACACTTTTAGTAGTTTTTAACAAACCCATTATAGGGGGAGTGGGGGGTGTTATAATCCGATTTCACCTATTTTTACACAATCGTAAGAAGAGTTAAAAATATATGGGCTTTGCTATGTTACATAGCCAAACCAAACGAATAAAGGGAGATATATACATTAAACTTATTAGGGGGCGGCGCCCACTTTTTCAGGATTTTCGAATCACATTTGCCCCTCCTTAGTTACATCGTTGAGCCAAATATTAGTTCTGTGTCTTAATTTTCGGCTTAGTTATAGCACTTTAAACGTTTCTGATTAATGGCGTTTTGTGGGCGTGCTAGTGGTCCGATTACGCTCATCTATGAACTGGTCCAGAAAGACAGTCACTCGGATTTAAACTCGTCTCCTCATTATGATCATTTATATATCTATCTCGATTAATTTTAGGTGAGACTAACAACCGTTAGGTGAACAAAACTATTACACTCTGTAGCAATATGTTGCAAGAGTATAAAAATATATATACTTACATACATTTTCAAGAAAGAGCAAATGAGTGAAATTTCAGCAGGTATGTTATTTTATATTAAATTTTTTTTTAAATATTGCCTAAAAATTTTCTGAAAATTTTGACAGACATACTATTGTAGTTGCGGTGTGACACGCAAAAGCAACATCGGTGTACTTACAATCCCAAACTGAGAACCACTGCTGAAATCTGTAAAATCGATCGATTACGGAACTTGGTTTGAAAATTCGGCTAGCGGAAATTTTTTATTTAAAGTTTTCATAGGCTTCACATTGGTGGCAGTCGAAAGTGCGGAATAATATATGCCGCGAAGTTGTTGTATTGTACCAAGATGCCCAACAGGGAACGATAGGGAAAAGTTGGTGCCCCTGGTAAAATTGTTTAAATTGTTGAAAGAAAATTTAAAAAGCGGAAATATAACAATGCTTATAAAATATACACAAAATGAGACATATTTACTTTTTTTATATTTCCGGTGGAAGAGTGAAAGTCGTTGGTTTTGAGGAATGATCGAGGATGTTAGTGTTGACCTAAGGTTGGAAGTGTGTCTTGACAATGTCAAGTCTACTGAGGTGTTCATGAGTAAACAAGGATATCCATTTTTTAAACTTCTTGATGCAATAAAGTATACATATATGTAGTAAACATTTTTTTAATGAATTGGAAAATGATTTTCTCTTAAAATCTTGAATATATTATATTTTCGAAGTTTATTAAAAACTATTAGTTTGTAGTAAAAAATAAATATATATATTATTAATCCTCCTCTATCAGCAGATTTCCATCTTAACCCTGAATTCCTGGGTTTCTATCCTAAGATTTATCTGTATTATCTAACTAAATACTCCCAAACAACTTATTATCCTGATAAATATACAATATATTTATATATATTTTTATTTAATATATATTTAGGACCACGTTTTTAGAAATACTCGCGAAGTTCTTAATTAAAATACGTGATCGAAATTTCTCTGTCAAAGCTGGTTAAAAGGATTTCATATACCACTAAATTGATGGATCTTAAATATTGCGATAAGCTACTTGATAAAAAATAATTAAACATCCATACGAAAATCTGGTAACATTGTTAGCCACCTCTTCCTTACCTAAGTCTCTATGATAACCGGTAAAATATTATTATTATGTTGGTTGTAAAGAAAATGTAATTTAATATCAATATTGTTCCAAAGAGCCTTATTTAAAATTTATATAATATTTTCTAATACAAAATTTTAATAATCACAACAATTTGATTTAATATCTCTTCTGAAGAAGACTTCGAGCGTTCCATATCTCAAATCAAGACTTTCAAATTACATTGCCTTTTTACCACTCTTTTCGTGAAAACCATTTTACTCCTGTATTGCGAATTGCCTGAGGTTTAGGCATATCTTTGTGTCTGAGGTCATATCTACGTACCGGTCATATCAGAAGATATTTATAGCTGGCTAGACCTTTTTAGTTTAGGCCACTTAAATTCAGTATTTGCGAAAATACAAATAAAAAGGAGCAAAAAATGCGTACCGGTGTTTGTGGTTTCCGAGTATAAAATTACAAAAAGCGTGAATTTTCGCTTTAGAATTACAACAAGTACTACTTCTACATGCGTAACTATATCCTAAAGGTCAGGCTGACGCCGAGTATAATGTGAAAAAAATGGAGAATGTATTTAATTTTCTTTTCAGCTTTTTTCGTCTTCTTTTTTTATGATTTGAAATATATGAATATATTCGTCACTTTGTTTCTCTTTCGTCGGATTTAATTAAATTTTGATTGATTACAATTTGCTAGAAGGCATTTAAGCTTGCAAGCGTTCGCTGATGCAAATGTGCGTACTGTCGGAGCGGAATATTTGAAATAAAGTGCTCTTCTGTCACAATTCTGTAGCAGTTGAGCCGAACTAAAATGCCAAGGTTGGGGACGGGGAATGCTCAACTGACGTATTTATGCCGAGCTCCTTGATTTCAGCAATGCGTAAGCGTGCCTTTAGAGTCACCGTTATTGTCATCTTTATGCACAGCTCCCTCGCCGAGTCCCTTGTAGGTGCCGCTGACTGAAGCGTTCACGGTTCGGCTTTTGTAATGCTGCAAGCGGCTTTGCTACGCAGCAAAACTACATTTGCATGCTTTCTTTGAGTGACGAAGGAATAATGAAATACAAATTTAATTTGTGTACCCTGAGTTGTGAAAAGTGAATGCTGCGTAGCTAAAAGCATACAATTGCAAACGGTGCCAGGAAACGCCTTACACTCGACACTGAGATGCCGGCACTTTTGTTGTAACTACACACAGAGGGCTTAATGACATTTATTCGTTAGAGCGAAGGCGATTTCTCCTTACACGGTATATGTATTAACGGGAAATCAAAGTAAATAGCCGTCACTTATTTATATAAAAGAAACTATCAGATATTTATGAATTTTAATTTCACAACTCAGGTAAAACATTTTTCTAGGTATAACCACCTTCGTCATGCATAAGAAAGATAGCAGAGGTATTATATTTATACCTACAAGTAGTTATAAAAAATATAGCTTTGTTGCTGTTTCGGTTATGAACATAACAACACGGGACTCATTCTAAAAAAAATAGGCAAAACTAATACCGAATAAAGACTTGAAAAATAAGTGCTTTTCTGGAAATAAAACGTAAAATTCGAGAATTTTACCTCTTGTGACCTTCTCCTTACTGCTTATTTCAAATAAATGTTCTGAGGAATGCGCCTCGAGTTGTTTGCGGCCATATTATAAGGCGATAATAAATAAAGGTGAGTGATTTTTTTTTTTAACTGTGAGGGCCAAATTTGATTATGAAATTTTTATTTAAGAAAAATTGTAATGGATAATCACCCACAGCTATATATTAAATAAATAAAGTATATTGTTAAATTTTATCATCCAATACTTCATAAACATCCATAGTCCGCAGATATTATTCTCTGCTTGATATCACAACTTTAACAAATTTGAAGAAGCTCGAAAAAAGATTTAAATAGAATAGAGAGCACCCAAATTTTATCAGTACCTGTGCCTATTGCTTAATAGTTTACCGAAAGAATGGATTTACGATCCTAAGATCAAGCCTAAAACTTTTAGCTATAGTTAATAAAACAATTAATATTCAAAATAGATATGTTTGTTTAGCGATTTATGTTTGCAGATTAATAAGAATTGTTTGTTCGAACTTAACTTCAAACTTCAGAATACATTAATGATTTAAGATGTTTTTTCTTGCCTTCTTATAGTCTATTGAATATTAGTAAATGGGTAAAGCTGATCTACTTGTAGATGTAGATTTATAAACTTATTTTCCACATTAGTTTCAAAATGGTAAAAAAAACGCAGCATTTTCAAAATAATAACCGCTAGCTGATATTATATTTTATACAATGATCCGATTCCGCTAAACTCATACGGAACAACTTATGAAAGTTATCTACTTGTAGGTAGTTAAAATTGTTCTAAACGAAAGAATTTAAGGCTAATAGCTAAATAAGGAGGTTGAAAGTCCATTTTCAGATAAACTGTACTAAATCACATATCCATACTTGACACGATGAATGTTTTAAAAAAATGTTAGAAAATCCGTCAGTAAAATGGAACAAAACAAGAAAAAATGTTAACTTCGGTTGTACCGAAGCTATATTATCCTTCACTGATCTTTATTCCGAACGTTCAGTTTGTATGGTAGCTATATGCTATAGTGGTCTGATATCGGCCGTTCCGACAGATAAGTACCTTCTTAGTGGGACAAGGATAGGTGCAAAATTTCAGATCGAGTTGCTACAGAGTATAATAGTTTTATTCGCCTAACGGTTGTTTGTATTACCTAAAACTAATCGAGTTAGGTATAGGGTTTTATATATATAAATGATCAGGATGAAGAGACGAGTTGATATCTGGGTGACTGTCTGTCTGTCCGTCCGTCTGTGCAAGCTGTAACTTGAGTAAAAATTGAGATATCTTTATGAAACTTGGTACACATATTTCTTGGTACCGTAAGACGGTTGGTATTGCAGATGGACATAATCGGACCACTGCCATAAATTTCCATAACTAAGCTCCACAATAAGACACAAGACTGTGATTTGGTATACAGGATCACGCGTGAGCCGTGTCAAGCTATCATAGTACTTTTGTTCAGTATTGTTTGACATTTCATCGTGGATGGACTTACGCCTGAACAACCTTTACAAATCGTTCATATTTATTATGAAAATTCACGTTCTGCAAAGAATGTGTTTCGCGCGCTTCGCTCAAATTATGGTCAACATAATCGGCTTACTGAGCGTACTATTCGCAACACCATTACCCATTTTGAGCCTCAGCATTCATTATTGGATAATCGAATAGACCATATCCAGCACGCAGTGCAGAAAATATAGCGGCAGTAGCTGAGAGAATACACGAAGACCGTGAAGATTCGATTCGGCGCCGTTCGTAGCAACTTTTAGTTTGGTGTGGTTTGTGGGCGAGTGGTGATACCGGAAATTGAAGCTTCTGATTTCGGCGGTGGTTTCACTTCCCTCTCTTTGCATCAATCAATGGATTTATTGAGAGAACACTTTGGTGACAAGATAATTTTACTTTTGTATAGTATAAACGAATTCAACGGATGTACTATCTGAGACGTATCTGTGCCAACATTTGAAAGAGATAATCTTCAAAAAATAAATAACAAAAATGTTCTTTGGATTTCCCACTACATTTAAATTTTCTGTAATTTTTCCTTAAAAAAGTAGGGAACGTCGAAATGGATCCCCCTATTTATATAACTGTATGTATATATACAGACGGAGAGAAACATCATGCTGATCATTTATGTATGTATTTTATAGGGTCTCCGACGTTTCCCTCTGGATGTTACAAACTTCATGGCAAACTTAATATACCTTCTTCAGGGTATAATTAATAATAAAACAGGATTTAGTTGAAATCCCTCCGTTTGTGAAATTGATCCGAGTCGTAGTGAAGCGGGGGTTAATTTTAATCATAATTTTATATGTCATGGTTCTATTTATGAGCAGTTCGTTAAACTATTAAATTCAAAGTTATTAAAATGAATCCATATTGGAGCTCCCAATTCACTATTCGCTTTGGCGACTTTTACGGTCCTTCTTAAACTATACACAATCAATCCTCAGGGCAAAAAACAGTCTTAAAACTTCAGTTGAAACTACTATTGGGTAAGGAAACTCTAGGAGGTTAATAGTTAAAATTTTCTTAAAAAAGTTTATTAGGTGTACAAAATTCCGATGAATCGGTTAATTTTGAGTAGGGTCTTTAAATTTTTGTGATCATTACACTTAATAAGACGTTCAAATATCGTACAGCATTTATATAAATTTTCTTAACACTTAAAGTTATGATATCCCTTACCGATCTATTGATATCGCCACTAGATTGAAAATCGATGATGTTGAACATATCACATCCATAGCTACATAAAAATCACATATGAACGCCGGAAGGTTCCAATGTCCTCTATTTACCTGTAAGAAGATAATTTATTGTATAATATAATATGTAAAATTTTAATAGATGGTTTATTATCAAGTAATCAAGTAAATACAAAGGTATTAAGTATCAACTAATTTAACTAAGCAACTAATTCATATAAAAGTATGTACGAGTACATATGTACTTATGTATATATATATACGGTATACTTACCTAACATATTTACATATTTAAATAGGCATAAACTTATAACATAAAATAACAAATAATTTGCCCATTACCTACACTTATTTTTTTTATTTTTATTATTTAGACATAACAACCGAACACACGTGTTATTGGAGTGGACCAAAACTACTGGTAATTTTACTTGTATAAGTTACCACTATATAAAACTTTTAACAAACACAATTTTATGGCATTTACTTCAACGAAAGCCCATCTGGAACCATTCCATTTCAACGTCCGCTATCCAAACAATAACGCTTCTTGAGTTAGTTTTGCTCGTTACTGATTCATCTGTATAGACAATTGACTTGATATACTCCACTCGTTTCAATTACAAGGATCCCGCTTAATTGGACAACCCAATCAAAAAAATTCATATGTGCACTTTAAATATTTATTTACTATTTGGCAATGATAATTAAATAATGTTTTTATTTTTAGAGGGAAAAAATATTTCATCATTCGGTGCCATGACTTATCAAAGCTATGTTTTGAGTGCTCAAAAATATAGTTGTTTCAGTCGATGCGTGAGAGCTCAAATCATTGTGGTGAAGAGGGATCTGGTTTCGGCGGTTAGTTTTCCTGATTTCCTCTAAGACGACTGGCATAAAAATGGTTGTGTACCAAAAAACAGGTAACCATTAGCTTGGAAGTGCTTTGTACGCGAACAACTTTTGTTGTATTCGGCTCATCTGGAAACACCCATACAGTCGACTGCTGTTTACTTTCGGTCTCAAACGCGTAAATCCACGATTCATCACCTGTCACTATGTCATAGATTCACGAGATTCATCTTGGAGTGATGTACGATCTCGATTGAATTCTCCATACCATTGATAAATACTGTGGACAAAAATTGTAATAAGTTCATTGATGCACTGTTGTGGAGTTAATCCATGTCGAAAGTTGAAAAATATAATTGAGCGAAAATGTTCGCGATTTAATTTAATTTTTTGGCCAAGATAAATTAATTAAGTTACTGTATACAATACAAGAAGCGCTTGTACGAAAAACTCTCTCAATATGGATAACATCAAAAATGAAAAAAATTACGATAAAGTTGTGAGTTGCCAGATTGCAACACTAGTATTGCCAAATACCGAAATATAAAAGGCAACCGCACTGTGACCAACCATTGCGGCAATGTAATTTGAAATATTGTCATCTTTCTTGTGAAACACACTGTTCTCAATATGTAATGAAATGACTCATATTTGCCTGATAACAGCGGAATTATATTAGTGTTGCATGCGTTTATTTGCGTGTCCACGCGTGTTCAAATGTAATTGCGTCTATTTAGCTATACAAATAATACTGAATGGAAGATTTATTGCCGCATTTAAGACTGCTCAACAAATAATGGCGTTCATTTTGCGATACATGTGCATACAAGGTGAAGTATTCCGGTCAGCCAGTTCTGCACGTTAACTATAAATACCCTATTCTAAAAACTCCATTTATCACTCCACTCGAACAATAGTAAATTTCGTACTATTGTTTTGCGAAAAGTTGATGTAACGCTAAAACCGTAGGTTAGCAAGTCTTATGTGGTATAAGATACCGTCTTTTATTCCTAGAATTCCTAGATTACGAAGATTGACCCAGTAGCCGGTATTTGTGTTAAAATGTCAATATAAATGTAGTTCACAGTCATACACTCAAAGACAGTAGTAACAAAGCCTTAGAAAGTTCATGTTATATTTTCGTACTACCAGAAAGAATTTTTAAACTTAGATATTTTTTAAGAGCAAATTTCAATAAATGAATGCTTAGCCCGCTACATTAATTTCATTCCATACCATTTTTGATTTCTTTGACTCTGGCAACGGACTCAAAGAGTCGCACAGTAAAAACAGTAAAATATAATTTTATGCTCTTCATTATGCATTGGATGTCTAACTCATTTGAGAAAATTACGAGAGCGTTAGTGAAATTCATTTCTCCTGAACAAATAATGCAGTGTTTTGTCATTGAGAGTCCGTTTGCGAATTACATTTTTATTGTTAATGTCCGTCTATTATTGTGCGCTGACAAACTGACTGTTAGTGCTATGGAAAGATGAATGCTTGCAGAACTTTTATCACATAACAATTGCTCGCTCAGCTTGCCAGCGCCGATGCCTTCTAGGAAAAGCTTGAACATGTAAAGCACATGTCAATAAGAACATAAAGTAGAGACCAACCGTATAGATGGATTGGCATTTTGCAAGAGTAGAGAGCATTCCTTCCGAATTCCGCACAGAAAAGCGTTTGCAGAAAAGATTTCTATATAATTTATAGTTTTTTTAAACCTCCATAGGTAAGAAATATTAACTTTGAATGTATAATAGATATCTACAATATTAGATTACCCTACTGGGCTTTTTTATGCTGTTAGCACTCTTGTTGTTATTGTATATTTTAATGTTGCTCTGACGAAATGGTAGTCATAAACTCTTTGCTTCGGCTGAGGGCAGTGACAATAGATTCCGGGTGTACTATGGAGTTAGAAGAGATCAAAAATGCATTATTTTTTCCCATAAAGTTAACTTAACTCTTCTACACACAAGCATATACGATTGCGTATTTATGCACGTGATATTCAACTAAATAGAATTGAAGTCAAAGAAATTGACGTTGGTGTCGCAAAGTAGTATACCTACAGAGATAGTGAGAGGTTCTCTAAAAGAGATAGGGAGCCGTTACGAACAGTAATGTACGAAGACAAATGCCGAACTCGTCGAACTAACTATGTACATATTTACTGTTATTAGCGGTGTGTCAGTATGGTCCAGCGATAGTTGAGTTTGCATATTTTTCATAACCTTAATTTAGGATGAAATTTCAAATCCTACCTCATACAGCAGCCTCATAAGAGCCGGTGTCAAAATTGGACAATAGGCATAGCAGAACACATTAAGTTGAAATTCTATATCCCACAAGCTACTTGATATATTTCAACCAAATTGGTGCATAATATTGGTAAAGTAAGAAGTTCGTTCGGTTTTTTATTGATTTTTCAAAAGATGATAAGTTTGTGTGCATTTGTCCGATTTAAGTCAAATATGTGCCGTTTTGTTCATAAACTTGTTGCCAACGAGATGCCAACTTCATTATACCATTCTCGTAGAAGGATGCGTCCCTTTTGGCAAAAAACTCGGAGATCCAATTTTCACAGTCCTCTCTTGAGGCTAACTTCTCACCATTAAGCGCGTTCGCCATGGACAGGAAAAGATGGTAACCACTTGGTGCCAGGTCCGGACTATAAGGTGGATCCCATCCGAGCTCCCGGAGCTTCTGGCGCGTCACCAAAGACGTCACAATCCGCTTCAGAAACGGGTCGATTTTGTTGCGATTCAGCAGCGATTCGCAGATGGAAATTCGGTCCATCATGTTTTTTTGCGTTAGTTCGTGTGGCACCCAAACATCTTCTTTTTGAATCCAAGGTTATGCAAATTGTTCCAAACGGTTTTCTGGTTTATCTTTAGTTCCTCAGCAATTAAATAAGTGACGGTCTGTTTCCCCTATTTTCATAATTTTATCGCAATTTTCGACGACAGGCCTTCCGACGCGTGGTGCATCTTTGACATCGAAATTACCGGAATGGAACCTAGCAAATCACTTTTGTGCTACACGTTCGCTTACAGTATCGGGCCCATAAACTAAATTAATTTTTTCAGTCACTTTGGCTGTTTTTTCGCCTTAATCGAAGAAAAATTGTAAAATATAGCGAATTTTCTCTTTGCTGGTGTCCATCTTTGACGAGCGCTCACAACGTACTGAGTCAATCAATCGAAAAACTGCCAAACTTTTAGCAACACGTTTTCAGCGCCGTATAGTATGACATGATGCGACACGTAACACTAATACTATGGACAATAACGCCATCTCTTAGGTCAAGTAAAAAGTTCGTTCGGGGTGAGCGTATATAATAAAATATAAAACCTATATTTATTATTCTCATGTTACAAAAATCGCATGTTACACCAAAACTTTTCAGGCCCCAAATACCGAATATGTGGACCCCAGTTCTTATTGCGCGTTTTTAATCGAAAACATCGGTCAATCTGTGAGATATATTATAGAAATTTGGAGAGAATCCTTTTTTGAGGATAGTATGCCTTTATGTCATAAATGGGTTGAATCGGATCAATAAGTCCTTTTATTTATCCTAAAATTTAACTATTCCGAAATAAATAAAATCTGGTGAAAACTTGTCCTGCCAATAAAGTTATTGTAATAAAGCCTTGCACATGTAGTACTTCTAAGGTATGCCATCTTTTATCCAAAAATAGTCAAAATTGGTGCATAACTTTGTAAGCCCACAGATACCGAATATGTAGACCTCAGTCCCCTTAGTTGGCTATTTTTTCGAAGAGCAAAATATTATCCAAATAATTTTGAACAATGGTTCGTAGATGGTCCGTTGCATTTACGTATTTACTAAAAAAACGTTTGCCCCGAGCTTCAACGGTTATAAATATACAAAAGAAAAAATAAAGCCAGCCTATTATCTATTATTTAGAATGGACTTGTGAATTAGTCGATTATTATAGTACCTAGTGAATATCTTCAGATGTGATTGTTTTTAGAATTGTTCTGAGTCCTAAAACTACGACTACTATTTCGTCAGGGCTGAAGTTAATTAGCTTTAGGAACAGGGATGTAGTGATTTTGATTGTGAACAGTATACGCCAAACCATTAAATCTAGTTGAGTGAATTGATAAAATTACAGATATTGAATTATCGAGTCTAATGAAAATGGCGTCATAACAAGAAATGCCGTTTTTTACTACTATACCAGGGTTTATGCTTTTCTCAAAAATTGTAATCAAAGTATAGGGTTTCTCGTTTGTACACGGTCAAATGGTTTAATGGCTGTTATTAATTTTAATTTAAACTGGTAACCTAAAAAAATTTGTTTTTTCGTGTTATTGTTGTATTCTTCTATAAATATATATTTATATTTCACCTCGTTTGGTATAATGATTCAATTAAAGTAACTGCTACAAGTATTACAATTTGCGGATGTAGAGTAAGGGAATATGTGAACACACATATACATAAATATACCATATTTACATAAGTATATAATATAATGGTGAACTAAACGGCCAGTGAACGATCGCTTATTTTGTCTTCCGTTGCATTTTCGCAGCGGAAAAGATGTAAAATAATAAAATGGGAACAATAACGCCGAGATGGTTGTAAAATCTGCTTTAAACTTTTTATTATTTAGTATTCATCCTTTGTTACAACCAGCATAGTCGTATACCATAAATGTGAATATACTCCCATACATATGAACAAGCATATATGTAGGTATACTGGGTAGCTTTTTTACCAGGGCGCCAATGCTCGCGATCGCGAAGCGCTGATGCAGCCTCATTTCATATGGAAAGTAAATCTGACCCCAGTGTAATATTAAAGCGATTCTTACATTAAAAATATAGCATATAATGTGATTTTAAACGCCATAAGAATTGTAATCGCAGCAATAACGTTACAAAAATTAAATGTGCATATCAACGTGCTCCATGAATATTCATACCTTTATTCTTATGAGGGCGTAATTTTTAAATAATACACTTTTAACGAAAGATTATTTGTAACAGCTACTAACACATACATACTATACTCGTATATTGACTATGTAACTACTTTGGTGCAGTTTTTTCAAAATTGGAACATTTCTTTGAGAAAAACATAAACATAGTCTTAATCACAGTATTGCTTATCTTAAGCTATAACATCTTTTTATATTTCTGGCAATTTGTGGATTCCATCCCAAAAGAATTGCGCCGGCTTATTGGCCAAGAATGAGTGAAGAAATATTAGTCAGAAGGGATAGGTCTTGGCTATAAGGTGGCCTGCCAAATTTCACATATGGTTTTTATACTCTTGCAACATGTTGCTACAGAGAATGATAGGTTTGTTTACCTATCGAGATAGATATAGGGTTATGTACATATATATAAATGATCAGAATGACGAGTTGAAATCCGTATGTTTGTCTGTCCGTCCGTCTGCCTGTGCAAGCTGCAACTTAAGTAACAATTTAGATATCGTAATAAAAATTTGTACACGTATTTCTTGGCAAAAACTGGAGGACGAGTTCGTAGATGGACGTAATCGGACCACTGTCGAGCCCACAAAACGCCATTAAAGGAAAACCTATAAAGTGCGACAACCAAGCACTAAATACAGATGTAGAACTGTAATTTGCCACAAGGGATCGCAGTAGAAAGGGGCACTTAGGGTTAAGCATTTTGAAAAAATTGGAGTGGTCCCGCCCTTTAAAGGGTTTAACGTACAACACATTCAAGCTTAAAAAAATTCAGCATAAATCCCTTAAGCACCCCTGCCGACACTGTAAAAATGAATGGAATCTAATAGACCCCTCCATTCCCCATATATAATATATAAATATGACATTAAATTTTACCTCCAAGATGGTTTGAGGAGGACGTTATAGGAACCGCGGTCAAAACTGGACGATGGGCGTGGAACCGCACACTTTTAGGTGAAATCACATAACTCGGTACCTGATAAATTGATTTCAACCAAATTATATATAGTATTTAACATCCTTCTGATATTCCTATGTAACTGTGCGAAAATGGGCGAAATCGGACTACAACCACGCCTATTTCTCATATAACACAATTTTAAATTTCATCTGACTCTTTCGCACAGGTGTAATGGCCGTTAAAGTATGAAATTTTATAATCAACTGTCGAAATCGAACCGAAACTGTTCAAACCCCTAGGTACCGAATATGTTTACCCCAGTACCTACAGTTGAGTTTTTACCGAAAATATCGGTAAATGAAATTTAGGGGGATCCTTTCCTAATATTAGTGTGTCTGCATACTAAAAATGGGTTTAATCACATGATTAGACGCCACATATCAGATATAAAGGTTTTAGAAATTCCAGTTACTTTATACTGCATATATCGGCCAATATGTGAGTTATTTTAATGAAAACAAGAAAGCATTAATCGGTTCAAAAAGTGACCAAAGTGACCAATAAAGCAAATGATAGCTCTATTGTAATAAATGACAGCTCTTATTTATAGGTAGTTGAAATGGGCCTAACCTTTTAAAGCTCTCTGGAATCAATATAGGAACCACGTAATTCCCTCAGACTACATCTTTGGTAATATA